TGGAATGTATTATATACGTATAAGGTATGTATCATATATGCAACTAGAATGTACACTTTTTCAGCCCCACATTGATTATTTAATGTGTTTTATAAAAGCTTTTCACTAGAACCTAAATAAACGGCCGTAAACCAAATAAAAAATTATTTCAGAGGGAAACAACAGGCCAAAACTTGTATGCTAGAATGATCTCAGGGGTTAATCGTCACATTTATTTTTATAGCAGGTATATCAAGTATAAATAAATCCCATTCCAAAATAGTAACTGATCAAAGTGGGGTTCACATTAGGTTCTGCACACCCTTATCTGTATAATTTGAGTAGGTTCTGTGCAGTGGCATACTCTGCAAGACAGGCCTTGTTATGAAATATAGCTGTGATTGTCACTCCAATTCCAAAACCCACCCGTTCTTTCATGGATGACAGCACATAGCTGTCTTCCTGGTGGATGAAGTTCAGCTCCATGGTGAAGGTCAGCAAACAGAAGCTTCTGAAGCCCCCAGCTCTCATTCAGTCCCTCAAAATGGGGCTTAAAGGCATCTGGTGCAGGGTCTTTCTTGAGGAATCAGAGTCTCTGACCCATATCACTTTCCTGTGTAGATGTGAATTTCACCATTAGATACAGTAAGAGAAGATAAGGTGCTGGATATCCTCTAGTTCCACTAGAAGTTAAGGGCACTCAGCACTGTTTACAGTTTGTGCTGCTGGACTCCAGCAGACCTAAGTGGAAGATGAATATACATGCCAGTGTAAGCAGGCAGAGGAAACGGCGGCATGGAAGGAAGAGAGTTTAAAACTATGCCACCAGGTGGGAGTATTGCACAAATATTCATGCAGAGTACAGTTTCACGAATTGTTAGCCATGACTGATCTGGATTATAATCAGGATTCAAGTTTATTTCTGTATGTTTTTTTGTTCTCTATGACAGGTACACAAACGGCCTGAAGCAGGCTACTGTGACTATAAAGCTCTCCAGAATTATTTTATTGTTCCATTAGATAATGACATCTATGCTTTCTAGGTTCTCAGCTGCAGGAGGCCCATTTTTGCTAGTCAAATATTCAGGCTCACCAAAAGCTGTGAGGAAGGACTAGCAGATTTTTAGTGTTTCAGTTCTGTTGGGAAACTAACTGTCAGTTCAGCAACTGGCAAGTGGTGTAGCATGATGTGGCTTGACAGCACTTTTCCTTGTATATTTGTGAGTGAAAATGCTTTCAGTGAAATTTTATTTCTATTTTTATATTTTTAGTACTGTATGAATATTAAGCACTACACATTATACTTCTGTGCTTGCTTGCTTATTGAATAAAAGATGTGTTCCATGCATTGTGGTTTGCTCATTTTCTAGACCTCCTACTCAGGCCAGGTAGTCTTAGTGCAAGACAGAGATCCTCTCCCATACCCACAGCCCCTAACCCCAGAAAGACGGCATCAGCTCAACCACCATCTGACCCAATGAGCTGTCTCTGACAGCGGTCCGTAACGAATGCCTGTGCAAGAGTACAACAGAGAGCACAGGACTCACTGAGCATCGTTGTGTTTAATAGCCCTCCACAGGGTTTTCTTCCCCTCGTGCTGGTATTGACAGCATCCCACGGCAATGAGTTCTTCATCTAAATATACACTGTATGGAAAAGGACTTGTTTGCTTAGAGACTGCCACCAGATAGTGTCATTTGGTGTTCCTTTGTTTTTGCATTATGACAGATGATACACAGCCACTGTTCAATCTACACAAGATTTTACACGCTTTTATCTTCCAGTTCTCGGGCAGCTCCATGCTGAGGAGTCCTACTCGTCACTGTCATACAGGAGACCAAAACCCACAAACTACAACAAGCTGCAAGAAGACAGGAGTAGAATTCCTTCTTGCTACAGAGGAAGATAAAATCTCCCCACAGTTCCTGCAGATTAGAGTCAGAAGAAAATTTAATTAGCACCAAAAATCTACTTAAGTCACTTAATCCTGAGGACATATGAGCAATATCCTTACCAGCTGCCTGAAAGCCTTCTTGCATTTCTGAAGACACCAGAGAATCCCACTGCCTTTCCCAGGCATAGCCTGTCTCCGTTGCTACAGCAGATGACCACGCCCCAGCCCTCAAAGCCAAAAATGTTCCAAGGCCACATTTTTCACAGCCAGGTGTATACGCATGCCATTGCCAAACTGAGCCTGTGCAGAGGGCTGCCAGCTCCCAGGCTGGAGGGGGAACAGCTAGTTTGGCCAAAAAAACATTTCCTTATCGCAGAGCGTAATAGCCTCTGTGACAATCACTGTGCACCTCCCGCTGTGCCGGTGCTCCTTGTTTGAGACAACAAAGTTGCTGTGTAGCAGGAATCTGCTTTCTAGGACCAGAAAGACTGTCCTCAGCCAGGGCTGTTCTTTCCTACCCCTTGACTCCCTTGCCTTCTGTGTTATTAGGTGAAATTCATCCAACAGTCAAAAGTCTGGTCAAAATCCATCCCCATAAGCCATGCTGAAATTCTACCTTTGGATCTCTGGTCCTTGAAAGCATTTCAGTCTTCTGTTAAAATATATAGGTAGTAAGCTCCTTCCTATTTTGACAACTTGAACTTTCAGGACTTGGCCAAATGTCACCATGACTCTCTGTCCAAACACAGACACCCCCTGGGCAAGTACCCCAGATTGTCTCTGGAGAGAATGCCTCGTTGATACAAATGCACTGCAAATGAAGAACAAAAATACCAGAAAACCAAGCGAATGATTTTTTCCTCCCCTCAGCATTCAAATTTGGTAAGATGCTTCTGCTGAGATAACTGCCACTAAGTTAGCACGCTAGGGAGATGTATCATGGTTATGCAGCTGGTAGCCCATTTAGGGATACAAACCTGCAAGACACGGGGAGGATTTGGATGGCTTCATTGCAGTGGTATCTCAGATCACCAACCAGCAATCCCATTTCCTCTAAAGCACTGAGTACCCTCAACGTTAGTTCAAACCAGCCATCACTGGCCACGTACCTTCACGGATATAGCAAATACACCACCTCACTGGATCAAGCAGGCGCACATCAGGCAGCACTCGAAAGGCCTTAGCCGTAAGGCCCCCAGAACGCCCCAGGGCTGTGCTGAGCAGCGCTGTGGCTCCTGGCTACCCACCCCTGCAGCTTCAGTCAGTGGGGTGCCTCAAATGACAGCAGCATGAAGTGGCTCGCCTCAGCCAGCGCCCTCCAAAGCGTTAACGTGAAGGAACTGAGGGGGAACTAATCTAGATAAGAAATTTTTGCACGGTTTTGTATATAAAAGGTTTAAGTGTTCATTGCAGTGAAGCTGGGCAGTAAAGAGGAAAGACAAGAAAGCTAATGAGTAACCATTAAAGATTCTCAGCACTTTTGTATAAGCATCACAACACAACATGGCACCAATAATTCTGGCAATAATTATAAAGATTGAGTCACTGGCTTGAGTCACCGTTATTATAAGCCATTCAGTCTTGCCTGGGCTATAAATAACGCCACTCAGTAGCTACCAGCAAAGGTTTAGAGGAAGGATTAAGGAACAGCATTTGCCTCTCCAGTCAAAAGAAAAAGGCTAAAGAGAGATTCAGCTGAATCAAATAATATTAACAAAAAAATCGCAAACCCAGTGACCACACTGGGAAGGCCACAGTACAGAAATGATGATATCTAATCTCACAGCATCCTCAGCTGCCAGTGTGCTCACTACGTAATCCATTTGATTTCTTTACTGCAGGATCTGCAGACGGGTGTCCTCTAGTGTTTGAATTATAAAACATATGCAGATGAGCATTTCCTGCTACCTGTCATGGTGTATATCACACAGATAGAACGGAAATAATTGCAACCAATAATCGGCTTCATTCTGGCAATGGAAAGGGAGTCTGCAAAAAAGGAACACCTTCATTTAAAAATAAAACTTACCCAGATTTTGGCATAATGAGGTTTAGACCTCAAGTGCCCAGTCATACTCCAGTAAAAACTGCTGTTCTGTCTTCAGGGAGTGGCAAGGAAGTCAACAACGCTGATGCCACTCTGTCCCGGCCTATCTGCGTATAAATCACCCCTCTGAAAGATGAGAGAGCGATGGCAAATTCTGCAGGCAGACTGGAACAACGCCTCTTCCCAGATCTCAGGCTTGAATCGTACATGGGCGCACGTAACATCCAGTGTCCTTCTGAAAACGTCTGAGCTGTGTGGTCTTAAAAAGGAATGCGAGAAAAGTTTACAAAAATGTGGGGCAATTTTCTGTACTTTAGGACCCCAACGTGTGGGAATTACTATTAGCAGCGTAGGACTCCTTGCCATAAACTGGTTTTAGAAACAGCGAAGCTGTTTACACCACTCGAACAGAGAAAGGAGAAGCCTTTGTACTCCCTGCTAATGCAGGAAGCTAAATGAGGTTCCTTTGGTAAGCTGTGCTGCGCCAGTATAATTTTTCTGGATTTTGCCACCTCATCGATGATTAAAATTGTAAAGCTGCAACAACTTTTGCTGGAGTTCTCACTGTGCACAGATGACAGGCCCTGGCAATGCACGCTAGAGTAGCTTTAGAAGCTACCACCTCCAGCTGTCCACTCTGCCTCTCCGCCAGAAATGGCCACCATGGAGGAAAGACAGCAGAAGCAAATGTGTGCTGGCTCCTCAGCTGCTGTAATTTACAGGCTGACATATTAACTTAAACCGATATAGATGGTGTTTCAGATAACAGGCTGATTTGTGAACTGCAGCTGCAAGGAGCAAGCGTGTCCTCGGGTGCTGCCCTGGCTTGGAGGTGATCTCCCAAGTCCTTGTCAGAGATCTTCTGAAAGAGCTCTGCGATCGGCCGAATGCAGTCTCTACTTGGGAACGGCCCGTTTCACATACGGGCCGGGTGTCACCTGTGAAAGATGGTCTGTAAAGATGGAATTGTGTCCTTCAGCAAGACGGGGAGACAGATGCACACTGCCACATGGAGTGAATTAACTAAAACCCACTTTTGGAAGGAATATTGTTTTGTAGGAGGGAGTGCTGCAGTAAGACATGGTGTGTGACAGCATGCAAGATGCAGAAAGAACGGTAACGTAATGGCAGCTGACTGCTCAGACCGATTCCAATCACAACCACTAATGTGCCGACTTGCCTGATATGTGTGGTACGAGTGATATTCAAAGTAACTGCCACCCAGACATTAAATCCACTGTCACCATCTCTGTCATACACTCAGCTTTTGCCAGCACTGAACATAAGATGACAATTTAATTCTCACACGTAGATAACAGTAACGCACAGCTGGTGTAACAGTGTGCTAAGACTTCAGCCCTCGCAGGCCTTACATCTGCTTTCTTACGGCTTTGGAAAAGAGTCACCCATAAAATATGCGACAGCTCTAAGAAGTCAGCATGAGTGAACCAATTAGAACAAAACAGGAACCAAGGAAAATGTTTAGATTTCAAGCTCCACTGGGAAGACAGTATTTTATTTTTGCCTATACATCACATAATCAGATGGCTAGAGCTTAATAAATATATACAAATTTACCAGAGGAAACAAAGGTGATGATGAATATTCCCTACTCGACGCTTGCACCACACCAGATTTTAACTTTTCCCAGGTTATTCGTGTACCACTCTTGTTTGCACCTTAATTGTTTCTGGTGCTGCAAACCCTCCCAAAAAGGCAGTTCTAACCCTACTGAGACAGATAATCCTGGAAATACTGCAAGAGACACTCAGTTCCTGGGACTGCCACCACTCCATAGTTGAGAGGATTTCAACCCAGAGAGGAAGACCCACAGTGGGTTTCCAGTTCAGTTCTTTAACCACCCTGCTTCAGCCACACACGCTTAGGGGTCGGTCTCTCTTAACAGCCAGACCTTTTTGGACATGTTCATTGTTCCCTCAGTAAACCCCAGTGAGATTAGAGACTAAAACTAGTTCTGACTTTGTTTCTATTATTACAGATCTGTGTAAGCCTGTGTATTCTAAACAGGATGAAAAAGGAATATAAACAAAAAATATTACATGGGCCAATTCAAACTGTAAACATTTGGGTTTTAACCATGCAAGTATGGATCATTTGGTCACTTTCTTACTCAGTAATCTGGGGCAATTTACATGAAGTCTTTGAAATGAAGAAATAATTTCAAAACTATTCTCATTTTTCTTCTAGCAATAGCTATGAAACTATGTACAGCCATTACATTCCTGCAATCTTACATATTTCTGCTCAAGTTACTGTCTCTAAATCTACCACTGAATTCAAAGGGACCACATGAAAGTTAAGTTCCATGCCCAAATATTTGTGGGAATCACAGCTCTTAACGTGCCCTGCAGGGCATTAGTCTAAATCAAGAACTATTGAAATACTGAACTTGTTCATGGACTTTTGAAAATAGAAAGCATTATCAGTTAATTGCTGATGCATGGGCAGCGTGTCTGGACTCTGCAAGAGACAGTATTTTTTCCAGACAATGGCTACAATATAGTTTTCAACAAATCTTATTTTCTTAAAAAAAAATACACCAAAGCCTAGGGAAGGCCATAGAATAAAGGCCTCTTTTCTCATGTCAGACTGCAATAATTTATGCGGCCCTTTTGGAATTAAAAGGGCTTAAATCAAGACGGAAAACACCCTAACGATACTTCCCAGGGGTCACCACACCATGAAAAAGTATGTATTTTATACTGAATCAAACCTTAAAGGGCCCAATTTCTCACTGAAATGCTCAATGCTTAAACCAAAAGCACTTATGCAACAAAGGGGCAATCAGGTACCAACACCCGCTCGCCTGCTCCTCAGTTCTGGGTCCGGCCAGGGGCACACCACGGGGCCACGGCCACCAGGGCCGCGCCTGGGGGTGACCCCCGGTTCCCTACGCGAGGCTCCGGGCCCTGGGCCCAGCCTCCTCCTCCTCCTCCTCCTCCTCCTCCTCCCGAGGGTTGCGGTGGGCCCTGGACTGTTACTAGCCCACCGCCCGGGAGCCCAGGGTAGCGGGAACGGCTGCTGGGGCCCCTGGGGATGGCACAACGCGGCGCTACCGCTGCCGTTACCCTCCAACAGCCGGTGCCGGCCCAGCCCGGCCCCTCCGGCAGAAGGCCTCACCACGGCCCCGCACCCAATCGGAACCTGCCTTACTGTTGCCATGCGAACGGCGGCGCCTCTACCCAATCAGACGCGAGGGCCGTTGTTACTACGGCAACAGCGTCCCGGCACCAGGGAGCGGCGCGGAACGGCGCCGGTACCGGCGGGTCCCCGTTACTCCCGCAGGTAACGATCCGGGGCTGGGAGCCCGCAGCCTACCGCAGCCCCGTGCAGGGACGTGGCCGGGAGGAACGGGGTCCGGCCGGGGCGCGACGGCTGCGTTGCACCGCCGCAGCGGCGAGCGGGGCCTGGCTCTGGTCGTGAGGGAAACCGGCCAGCGGAGCACCCGCCTCCCTACGTGAAGGAGGGCTTTAACCACTTTAATTAATCGCTTTAATTTCCTGCCGTCTGATGATAAGTGCAGCCTGAAGCAAGGCAGAAGCCTGAAGCTTGCGCCGGACTGCTCTGGAGGTTGGGGTGGGGGAGTCTGCTGGCAGAGGGGAAGGGCGGAGGGAAAGGTGGATCTGAGCTTTGTGCTCTGTCGGGGTGAGGGCTGCAGGTTTGGGCTGAAGAACAGACAGCGTGGTTGTCAAAATCCTCCACTGTTACGTTGAAGGGGAGTAAAGAAAGAAAAGATGCTTTCTCAGGAGGGAGGCCGTCCCTAACTGCCCCTGATGAAGAAGAACCTGGTTTATTCCACAGTTCTGTTTGCCGGGAGTTCTTTCACCTTTTCTCTGAAGTACCCAAAACAGAGAGGCTTTATAGTTCAGGACCTTTACGGGCCAGTAGTCTGTCACTGTAGCCCAACTTAGAGCATGTCCTGATAATCGGAATGACCTGCTCCACACTGAGGAAGTACAGGGCGGTACAGGAGGCAGCCTGGGTGCTATTGAACTTCCTTATTTGATGTGTTGCAGGTTGGCTTTAACTTTGGGGGATTTTCTGCCTTTGGGACACAAAATTACACAGTCCCTGAGCTCAGAATATATAAAATTCTCTTTGCAAAATAAAATGCACATGCTGTAGGCTATCTCAGTCTTTTGCATTACTCATCGGAATTGAATCTTGGCATGGAAATTTCTGAATTGCTGAAAAGCCATCATCTGCTGTAGTAAGAAGGTTATCACCACAGATTAGAGTGGTGCCAGGTCCCTGCCTGATCAGTTGGAGGTATGTTTCCAGCTGTACCACCTTGTTTGATAAATACAGGAACAAGTGAACGTGCTCAGCCACTTGAATAACATTAGACCTTTTAAGGCACAGGGCCCTTGCAGGTGGTTTGTCCACGTGAAAAACACACGTGCCGGAATCCAGAAAGCTCTGCCTTAGTGTGTCACACAGGGAGAGCTTACATGCAGGAGAGGATATGGTACCTAAGTGACTGTTCATTCTTTCTAGAGAGAGCTTTCATGTTTATTTCCTTCTGTTTTGCATTTCCCATAAAGCAAGTGCTACTACTGTTTCCCGCGGATTGGATAAAGTAAGGAGAAAGCTTCTTTGGTCATCCTCTGAGTAGGGCAAAATCTGGCTCTTAACTAGTTGATATTTCTACAATCAGCCTTTCCCCCTCAAGCCATGGAGAGAGAATAGGGAGAAGTAGCAAATGCAGACTGAGAGTATATTAATTAAGGATTTCATAATTGGAGTTAGGGAGGTAAGAAAAGGAAGGCAATGAGACGACACCATCTTTACAGTGGATAGTCTTTGATTTGCACACCAGAATTTTCCCTATGGCTGACAAACACTAGCAAAGACACTGCACGCCTCAGAGACAGGGAGCTCCAGGCAGAGTTGTGAGGTGGGAGGTAACAGTGACTTTCTAGGAAGTCCCTGCTTCACCCACCGTTTGGATCTCAGGGTGACTTGCCCTGTGTATTGGGTGTAGGTGTCAAGGTGTTGGCAGTGGGGAGCTGCAGGGGCAGCCTCTGTGAGAAGAGGGCAGGGGCTGCCTCCTGCCAGACACAGCTGCTTCCAGCCAGCTCCAGTGGACCCACTGCAGGGCACAGCTGAGCCCATCAGCTGTGATGCATCTGTGAAAGCATATTTAAGAAAGGGTAAAAATACAGCACAGCTGTGTGAGAGGGAGGGGTGAGGGGAAAGAAAGAAGTGTGAGAAACTGTCCTGCAGACACCAAAGTCTGAGAAAAAGGAGGGGAGGAGGAGGTATTGCAGGTGCTGGAGCTGTTTCCCTTGCAGCCCCTGGAGGAGACCACGGTGAAGCAGGTATTCCCCTGCAGAGCATGGAGCAGACTACAGTGGAGCAGATATCCATATTGCCGCCCGCAGAGGACCCCGCATCAGAGCAGGCAGGCATACCCTGAAGGAAGCTGCAGCCTGTGGAGAGCCCGTGCTGGAGCAGTTCATGAAGGACTGCAGCCTGTGGGAAGGACCCACACTGAAGCAGGGGAAAAGCGTGAGGAGGAAGGAGTGGCAGAGAGGAACTGTGACAGACTGACTGCAACCACCATTCCCCAACCCCCTGCAATGCCTGGGGGGAGGAAGTAGAAGAGTTGGGAATGAAGGAGTGAAGTTGATCTTGGGAAGAAGAGGAGGGCAGGGGGAAGGTGGTTTAGGTTCTTTGTTTCTCACCATCCTGTTCTATTTTTAATTGGCAATAAATTAATTTTCCCCAGATTGAGTCTGTTTTGCCTGTGATGGTAACGGATGACTGATTTCCCTGTCTCTATCTCAACCCACAAGCTTTTCCATCTTATTTTCTCCCCCTGTCCTGTTGAGGAGAGGGGGAGAGAGAGTGGCTGCGTGGGCATTTGGCAGCCAGCCCAGGTCAACCCATCACACCATGGAAGCCTCTGGTAGCCCATTTCAGACCACGCAGGAGCTTATAGTCTGATGTAGCTCTGCTGCCAGTTGTTTGCTATAATCCCATCGTGAGAACAACAAATTGTACTAGAGCCACAAACTGTTCACCCTTGATCTGCATGGGGGATTTCATAGCCTTAATTGTTCTCTGACAATTGTAGAGACTGGCACTCTTTCAAGGGGAATAAAGAGAAATAAAGGACAAGGTTAGAGCAATCCTTTTACTTTAGGTTACACAAATCAAATGTGTTAGGCTTTTTTTTAAAAAAAAAAAAGCTAAGAGAAAATGAAGGTGAGACTTGCTATCATCTGTCTTGCCAAACACAATACAAAATCGTGAAGCTTTCAGAAACAAATAGAAAAAGCGTTCTATTCTAAAGCTTCATTTATCCTTCCAAGAAAAGGATATGGTCCTACGAAACACTGTAACAGATCCTCATTATTCTGTTAGAAACTGCCTTCTACGTTTCTGTCTGAACTGACCAGAAATATGTTTATGCCATTTGCAAGATCCATCCATTTTGTAACTATAGTGAAACATGCCTCAGGTGCAGGAACCTGGTATGTAGACACTTGGGAAACTCTTATCAATTAAATTATTGAAATGAGAAGAAATGAGGGCCAAATCCCTTAGTGGCTATAAATTCTGTAATTCTTCTGAAGATAGGAAAGCAAGCAGAGCTATTCTGATTTATGGTAACTGAGGATCTTGCCCTCGTACTAGTAGGAGTGTACTTAAAAATATAAGCAATGGATCTGATTTACAACCTTTTATGCACCAGCATGAATTCCAAGTAACGTAAATCAGGAGCTATTCAGTGCGGGTAAGTTATTCTTGATTCATGCACTGATATTTTGCAGGTGTAAAGGCAGTGTAAGTGAGAAGAGAATATAGGCTCAGTATCTGATGAAACTTTAAATTTGATTGCCCTGTATCAGTAATCTTTGACTTTCAGTATATGGACTTCTTATGGATCATGGATTATTTCTGAAGCATCTGTGAAAGATAGCTAAGAAAGGCAAGCTGACTGTTAGTAGACCAGATGGACATATACTTCCATCAGAAAACGTCTAGGGGTCCAGAAAAATACCAGATGCATTTGGTTTCTACAAGAGTAGTTTAGGGCTCCATCCTGATTTTCTGAGGTCAAAGAACTCTTTGCTAATGGACTTCAGCAGCAGCAGGATGTGCTTCTACTTACCATATTTTTGTTGTAGCCTAGTTACTAGGCCAAATAGCTGTTGCTGCCTTAGCTGTTTGAACGGTCCTTTTGCTAACAAATTGATTTAAATATGTCTACTGAACCTGTAAAAATTGCAGAGCAGTGTTGAAGAGGCTGTGAATTTCCCTCTGGCTTGGGCATGGTACAAATAGCTGGCACAGCCTCTTTAGTATCAAACCCTCAGTACCTGTGATAGAGCTTGGTGGTGCCTGAGGAGGCAACGGCAGAATCGGCTTGCGTTTGTTTCAGATACATTTATTGTCTGCCCATATTTATGATGGGGTAGATCCTGCAGCCAGAACCCGTTCATTTGAGCTCTTGGGCTCTGAGAAATGGCCCTTCCCTATTTACGGTTTCTAGGGAGCCAAACTTGCATGGGTGCCACTGCAAGTGTATCAGCCAAGCCTCTGTAGCAATGATGACACTTAGCCATGTATCAGATGAAGAAGAAAAGGTTGTTTTCCACCCGAATGGTGGAGAAAGAATGCTTGAAGGCTGATTTCTTTTAATGGATGGCTACAGAGCTAGGACATCTGCCAGGGGTTACTGCTGTAGATGGGTTATGCTAGTAAATTAAGTGTGCTTGTGACTGTTTCTTGGCACTGAGGTGAACTGGCATGAAATAGCCCATGCCCGGACTGTTAAAAGCTTCTCACCCTTTGAAATAGGATGGCTGCATGCAAACTGCCCATTGGGAATGGTTCCTGACGAAGCTAACTCCCAAAACATGTCCAAGAAGCTCTTTGTTTGACCCAAGCTTGGGTGAAAACCCAATCAGAGATTATTCTAACAATTTGAGTGTACAGAGGATGAAGACGTAGTGCCCAACAACAGTAGCCAGCAACTGCGTAATTTGCTGCATGTTAAGCAGTGGGGATGGTCTACTTAGATCTGCTTAATTTCTGTTTGATAACATGAAGACAAGATTGCTTAAGTTGTCAGAAATGTGTTGTTTTCCCTTCCTTTCTTTTCCTCCCCCTCACCCCCCTCCCCGCTTCTCCCTAGTAGTCCAAAACACTGAGCTAAGTAATGAAAACTTGAAGTTTTTGACCTGCGGTGGTTTTGTTTATTCATTTTGAATTTTTTTTTTTTGGGGGGGCGGGGGGGTGGAGAGAGCAGGAGGGCTTTTCTACCTGTGTAAAATGCTGCACAGTGCTTCATTTTTGCTAGAGGACTAGTAAGTCTCGCTCTTGTCCCGCTGTTTTTCACTTGACTCTGCAATATCTGCTGTATTTTTACTTCTCATCTCCCTTTACAGAGAATAGACCGGTTTTTGTCATTTGTACATAGCATGCTGTTTTTTCAGAAGGCTACAGAACTCATAGAATTCCCTGTGCTAACATTTACTTTCTGTACTGTGGTAATTGAATGGCAGGAGCACGCTGCAATTGATTGGCACGTATCAGAGAGAGAAAATATATTGTACTCTCTGACTGCCGTTCAGTTTGGGGAGAAAGCAAATTTCTAATTTTTAATTACATTTGTAATAGCGCAAACAGGGCCTTTTAAAATATTTCCTTTGAAGTCTGTTTGGGTTAAACTACGTAGGTATCAATAGAATTACCCTGTCATCCACTGCGTAAGACTGCCAATATTTGCAAGTATTTTTGTGACTAATGACTGTAAAACGGCATGGAAAAGATTGGGTGATAGCACCATCACCTAGATCACCCTTATTTTATTAGCACTCAAAACGCATTCCACACGGGCAAAGACAAATGCCTCATCATACCTGAATAAGCCCTAGAGCAGCATCTCCCAAAGTTTTGAGCATTAGAGCATCATGGGCTCTCAGCATTGCTACCGGGAGCTCGCATAATGGTGTTTGCAATCGCAGGCGCTGTTCAAGCTGTATGGTTGCACAGAGCAGATGCAGACCATTTAACATTGCCTAGCGGGTCACCAGCGAGCCACACTTACAAAACTGTTGCATATGCCGTGCAATACTCTCTCTGTCTGATTGTTATTTTCCCAGTTAGCTCTTCTGTTTATACTTACAGTATAGTTTGCCTCAGATTTCCTGGTGTGGAAAATTAATAATAGCTCTTCATAAAACAGAGTAATTAGTGTAATGAGCTGGTGTCTGGTACATGTATTTTTCTCCTGCAAAAGCCTAAAACTCTAAATAAACATCTAAGCAAGCATACTGCTTAATAAAATAACAGGCTTTCTTAACTAAAAGGTTGTGTTTTTAAAGATTTTTTTAGAGTACTTTAATGTGCATAGCCTTCAAGATAATGGCCAGAAACATTTCCAGAGATAATTCTGTGTTATTTGGTAGAAGAGTTAATCTACCACTCTGGTCTCCTACTCTAAACTGCATATCTGAAAGTGCTGACATAGGAGGTAGTATCCAGCACAACCACAGAAATTGTGAACTCCTCTCATCTGGTCACTGCTAGTCAGCAAGAACTATCTCAGTCAATATTTTTATCAGCAAATTAGATCTCGTGTCAAGAAATCAGTTTTTGTCTCTCTTGTTGTTGTTGCCAGCCACACTGCTGCTTTTTGTGTCTGATATTCTGATGTATTCTCATAGTCCTGTTTTAAATCCAGGGAAACGATGGCCAGAGTGACAACTGCAGAAGACCTCAGTGCCTTGCCCCTCTCTTCTCACGGCATCACGTTTACCCCAGGACCTCATTCTACACAAAACAGAGCATCATTGTGTGGCAGCAGGTGGCGCTCAATTAAATCAGCTGCAGGTTTGTACTGAAGTCTCAATGTTTGGTCTTGGGACTTTAAATCAAAATCCTTCTATTGCTCAGAGGACAAGCATTGTGTAACTTGCAGCTGGCATCAGCCCCTCAGTCCTTTCTGTCCTACTGTTTGCTTGGGGTTCAGTGGTGCCTTTCCATGCAGCAAGTTGCAGCGGCCAAGGAGCCCGTGTGCTATTTAGGGTTTGGGGCACATTTCCCTCGCTACTTTGAGAGAAGTCGTCTGTTACAGATACACCATGTTTGCTGGATTCTGTGGACGTGAACAAAATCAATCTAGTTCTACTGACGGAGAGAGGGTGGAAGAGGGAGCCACGGCCCCTCTCACCCGAGTCTTGTTCCTCTTGCTTGTACGTGAGGAAACAGAGTCTTTACTTTCTTCCCTTCTCTGAAGTCCATTGGAACTTGAGAGAGATGCCTTCTTTGGGCCAGTGTCTCACTTCTGTTCTGAAGTCACTACAAGACCATTGTTTCCAATTATAACACATTACCAGATTTGATACACATCTTATCCTTTGGGAACTCATTTGAAATGACTATACGCTTACTACAGAAAGCTCATTTTCTGGAGCAGTAAGATTTATAGTTTGTTCCAATCAAGTATGAATTTGCTGTTAATCCCAATGTGGACATTCCTCTTGCAAGTAATTTTTAATTATTATCATGCGAGGCTTCCTCCATCATGATTTGTGTCACTTTTCCTCCTCTCTTTGCCATGTAGTTTTAGATTTAGGGTCAGATTCATTGTAGGAGTAAGCTGTGACAGCTCTATTGATTTCACCGAGGCTGTATCCAGCTGTGAATTTGAATGCTTTCTTTTGTCGGAATGGCTTTAACTTGAAATGAAATGTGCAAGGCATCCATGATTGTATACTTTCATTGTAAGGAAGGGATGAGCATAAGAAAAAATTTGGCTCTCATAAAATTGCAACAAAGCTGTAAATAACAAAAAGCTGTATTTTGCCATCTTGCTTTTTGTAAACAAAGCTTCTTCTGAAGGCAGTTATATTTTGTTTAACAGCAGATCCTAAATTAAAGTTTGGAAAAAACATAAATGCTTATGAACTAGCCCCAGTGTTCAGATTTGTGTACAAAACCTCCTTTGATTCAAGTAGAAGGTAGTTAAATGCCCATAGCTGTGGCTGAATTTGGCTCATTATGAATCCAAAAGAAATATCAGGCCAAATCTTTTGGTTCTTGTTTAGTTCTTGTTCAAGTCTAATGAGAGCCAGGGGTGTCTTAAGTAATATAAGGCATCCCTGTACACTATATTGCACTGTCAGGTACTTCCACTCTCCATTGCTGGTTGTGTTTTTAGTGGCAAAAGGGCTGGCATGCGCTAAAATACCGTAGACTCCATATACAGACAATGAATGTTGACCTCACTACTACATGACATCTCTGCCCAAAGCTCAATAACTGAATAAAGTCTCTAAATTTTACAGGGCAAAGAGATCCTCTCTGTAGTTTGAAGTGGGAGGGCTGCTGTCATGCAACACGTCTATGCACTGTAACTTTATTTATTGTTTTTTAACTTTTAAAACTTAAGTGTATATTCCAACTTACTGTTTTGGCTGTAGTAGCAGAAAGAGAAACCCTGGAATCTTTCATTTAAATACTTACAATTCAGTTTGGTTATTTATTGCTTTCAAATCATTGGACAAACAATAACTAATTTATTTATATATTTCTAGAAATTAACTGATTTGTATTGAATTCTAAGAAAAATATGTGATTTTCCCAGACTTAGGAGTAGCTGATGACTGTCTGATATATTTTACACCTACCCCTGTGAGCTCTGTCCCACATCCCACATTATTCTCCTGGGACATTGGGCAGATCTTACTTCAAAAGACAGATGAAAAAGAAGATGAACTGAAAAAAGCATTTCAGATGCTTGATGTTGGTCAGACCCTGACAGTCACAAAGGGTGAATTCAGGAGAGTGATTGAAACCTTTCTCTTCCATCTAACAGAAGCTGAATTTGATGCTGTGCTGGCAGAGGTACGCTACGTCATTGCTGTTTATAATCATTTAGAGGCTGTTCCTATTTATGTCAAGAGCAAAATTTCAGTGGCAGCAGGTTCCAGACCAATACTATCATAAAGATGCTAGACATGGTCAAAACCTTCTGTTCAAGTGAAAGTCATAGAAAACTTGCAAAAGTAACATGAGCTAAATTTGATGATTGGTATGTTTATATGAGGATTTTGACTGTGTAGCGTGTCTCGCTATTTGAAGGAGTTGCAATTTACTAGCAGATTTTGATTAAAAAAAAATCTCACAGCTTAAATTCATATACGTGCTGTGTTATGAATATGCATAGATTGGGTTGTGAACTCTGAGTCAGAGATCAGCTGGTTTTTGTCTGTATGGGGAGTTTCTCGGCTCACTTTTGGTATTTGTTACCTTATAAACCATCATCAGATTGGACTTGAAGGAACATTGGGTGTTTATATGATATCATGACTGACGCTTATCAAATATAGGGGAGGATTCTGATGCGCAATCTGCACCAGCATTATTGTACACTTAAATTTCTGTCCTGAAAGTGTAGGTGACTAAGTTTTATATATATTTTTTTTCTAATGTACTTGACTCTTGTTTGTTTGTTTAATTGGGGTGAACTGATCTGTTACATTTGCATTTTAAACTAATCACTCTGTAATGGGTTCAGTCCATTTCAGCTAAGATTGATGTTAAATTCTTTGCTAATACTAAATTGTCATTAGGGGGACAAATATACACCTGAAACACACTAAATAGTCTTTTGGAATGAGGGAAGGATGCATCAGTGAGGAGGCTGATGAGAATGAATATACTTTCGTATATACATGTGAAAGATCATAGAGCTAGAGAGCTGAGAAAACTTTATCTTACACGATGGAAAGACTTGTAGGTTGTAACTTTTTTGGGAGGGATTTGCCAGATACTAAATTAATGCTTTGCTTAATTCTAGACAAGTTGCTGAGAAGTAGTAATGCGTAACACACAAAACAAAAACAAAATTATAAGATAAATTTATTTTTGCTGTTTAAGAAAAGAATGAGTAATGCAAATGAAGTATTTAAAAAAATCTGATATCACGGTAGGACTCATCCATGTGTATTGAAATACAGATCCCAAATATTGGCAAAGTTACTGTTCCATATCTTGACTTCCTGTCAAAGTTCACTAAAATTGCCAGAAACACCAGCATGCTCAAAAGGTAAGTAACTGTTCCATATTATGCAGTCAAATTGTTCCTAAATTGTAGTCATGAATTGCTTGCGAGTTGTCTGGCTCTCAAGGCAGAATCTAGCTACTAATGTGAGCTTCTAGTGACATAGAGATAAGACACACTTTTTTTCTACAATCACTTTTTCTGTATGTGTAATTGGCATAGTTGCCATAGGAATGTTACCTGGTTGCCAAAGGGAAAGGAATGGTCTGCTAAGCCACTGGTCTGCTACTGGAAAAATATGAACCTTTGAGACTAATCAGTCTGTTCTCTGAATTAACGATGAAAGTTGTTGTGTATGAAAGAAATAATAACTGATTAAGCTTAATAGGGATTTGAAAACATGCCACTCAGCTTGACTTGTCTTGAAGTGAAACACAGAAGCTAAGCCAAGGGACCCGGTAATAGGAAAGTTACAATGTCTGAGGATTCAATCCTTTAAGAGTAAATAACTCACATTTGTCTTCATTTCCAGTGCAAGTAATTTTTCAATAATAAAGTTGAGAAGACACCAGGTGTGTGTGAACTGGGATTAAGCTTGGATTCTTACCTTCCATGAAGTAAAATGGAAAGTAGAGTCATCTCTACGTAAAAATAAAAATAAAAAAGCCCTGTGCTCTCACAGTAGCTTTCTTAGTGGAGCACTAAATATTTTTCACACCACATCCCTCCTCCCCTCCCAGTGAAATATAAAGGGTGAAATTCTACAAGGGGATCTGCAGGGAAATTCCTTTTCCTTCAGTTTGTCCTGTGGGTTTGTATGATCTGGCCTTCAATAAAGACTTGCCTCAAAAAATATTCTGTAAATTCCAGTCCAACTTTGTTCCCAGCAAGTGCAAAGCTAAGAAAACTCTCAGACAAAGAGAGAATGAGGGAGTGCAATACTGAGGATACAAAAATGGGATTAGGACTTTGAAAGGAAGCAGGAGGAAGAAGAGGAGCAGCAAAAGAAAAGAAGAAAAAGGGAGGGACCTAAGCCACTTTCTCCCAGAGAGACAAGGGAGCTTAAAAAATTCTAATTAATTAGTGAAAACTAATTAAATAACAAATGAGGGATCTTTCCCGGAATAAAAGGTTAATCTTTTCTTTATTACATGCAATATAATAAAATGGTAAAGCTTTTTGTATGCTTGGGGTTGGATTTTCTTCCAGTGTTCAAGGAGAATCTATAAGATGTTACTCTTGATTTCCTTTTAAACTCACTAAAACGCGGAAAGCGAGGCTCATGCTTAGACGCTCTTGCCTTTTGGCCGGCTCGTTTGTCAGAGAACGGCTCTGGGACCGCCCGCAACGCAGGGGGGGCAGAAATAGCGGCAGGTTTGCGAGAGCCACCGGCATCCCCCGGTGTCATGTCACCACCGGAGGGCAGCACAGGTGCTGTTTTCCAGGAGCTTTGCTGGGCGGCATTGTCAGAGCTACTTTCTCTCCCGATTTAAAACTCAAGCAATTCCACTAAATTCAGAGGCTGAAATGATGGCAGAGCTTGGCTTCTAGAACTTCGTCCCACAAATACAGATACGAATAAAATGACACAAGCCTTTTCAGAAGCAGTTAGTTAAGGCTGAAACTGGAGAAGGACGTGAAACTGAAGAAGGTGGGATTTGGCACCTGCAGGACCCACTAGTGAAAGTAAACTTGGCTGGTAGCTGACTCCGAAAATGACCTGCTCTGGTGCTCGATGCAAGTCAATAGGATGAGGAAACAAAAGCAGAAGCAAGGCGATATATTTCTGAAAGAATTTTAGAAGGTACTGGTGACAAATGGATCTCAGATTTGTGCTAGGGGAGAAGGGGAGGAGGAGACTTGCTTGTTGTTCTCAGAAGAACAGTTGATGAGAGCAGAGGAGAGGAGAGAACTGCCACTATAACTTTCCTGACCTTGGGACTCCCAAGTACTCTGTCATCCCAAGGGCCAGATCATGCTGCTAATATCCCTTTGTGTCCCTTATGGCAGCCAAAAAAAATAATTCAAGAAAAAATATTTTACACTAACAGTCATCATGCTTGTGGTGGAGGAGCAGCTGCCACATCTCTGTTCTGCTCAAGGATCCAGATTTGTGGTGATTTTCTCCAAAGGCAGTGCAGAGGTGTGAAGAACAGTCACAGCAAAGGCAGGATCAAGCCACTTTCCTGCATTTGTAGTTGTTCACATGCTAAAACAAAACTCTCCCATTGATGTCCCTACAGTGGTCTTCAGTGGTGCTGTGATGCACGTGTGGTTTATGTTGATCTAATCTTTTTTATTATATTTGTTTTCAGGTTGAACAGCCACAGTCGCCAAACAATGACATTAAGTCAGCTGGAATCCCTGTTGAAGGAGAAAGTATGTTGACCAGGGTAATCACAGAAACCACATGCTGGGGTAGTAATTCGTTTCAGATAAGTAGCTGTTGCTCTTGGTGTACTGATGTCAATTTAGTAACATGTTTAAAAGGATATTGTCCTGTTGCTGTATCATGAAGATCTGGTCATACGTGTAGGCGTAGCTTTTGTTGTTGTTGTTTTGGGTTTTTTTATTATCCTGAAGTACTAAATAGTATTTTAAAAGCCTCTCTCATCCACACTGCGAATCCCTTTTTAGCGTCAAAAACCTAAGCACTTTTCTCTTTCAAGCAGTCTTGCAACAAATCTCTGGTGTAGGACTGGCACAGTCCCACTGTGATTTTATTTCTTAGTTACTAGATGCTTGTGGCTTGAGCAACAACACTTGACTTTTATTTAAGAAACTAGATTCTCCATGGCAGTAAAATTTCTGTAATTGTTTAGCCCTTTGCAAGACTGGTGTAAAACATTCTGTCACATCAGAAGAACGGCATTTTAGGCATTTTGTACTCTTTTTACTTAGAAGTATCCAGCCACCTGAGACCTCAGTCTACTTAAATCTCCACACAAATTTGAACAGCACAAAACCACATTTTTAAATTGAGGAGGAAATGGTGGTGTGACTATGGGAAAGCTAGATTTTTTTTTTTTTTTGCACAAACTGAGCCATGAAAATCTGTTTATCAACATCATGATATTTTATTATATTTGGATATTTGCAAGTTAACCTAATGTCACATATCATGCCTAATAACAGTTATTATTTACAAGGAGAGGAGTATTCCATGCCTTCTAGAGCACTGTGTGACAGTCTGTTGGCTCTACCCTGAGACTGTTCATAGAAGAAGAAATACATTAAACATAACCTGATGTAAATTCCAAGGAAAATCCAACCTCCTGCTGTGCTTGGCATGGGCTTGGCCTGTAATTTGGGAGGGGGAAATAAAATCTTTCTGATTTCACAGCTGTTATTGCACCTCAGGGCTGCAGTAGTATTTGCAACCCATTTGCTTCTTTTCCACTGAGTAGGACATCTGAATATATCCTCACTCTAGTCTGAATAAAATATTAACATATCGCAAGGCTGTTAGGACAGATTGTATCCAAGACAATCTTTTCTCGCTGTAGAAAAGCCTATCAATCATAACTTGGTATAGTTGTTATTAATGTCATAGCTTTTATTCATTTGGCTATATGCAGCTAACTGAAGAGTAACGTTTATGTTTTCATGTTAAGCATTTCCTATCACAAAAGAAACTGCTGAAATATCTTCTTATTATAGAATTTATGAATTGAAAATACCTTCTAAACTCCTAATTAGAGGTCTGGTATATTTAATTTACAAGGTTCTATGTTATTTTTTAACAGCATTGTGAAACAGAGCTGCTACGTATATTTTAGTACATTAACAGAAAACATCATTAACTTAAGGCAAGGTTACTGCTACATATATATCCCAGGAACAATTCAGTTAAATAAGTACTGCAAGATATGTAAATGCATGATGTACACAGATAATTATTCAGACACACTTAAGAGTTCCTATACTCTTTTAAATATTTATCTGTAACGTATCACAGTGGTTATTTCCAAGCCAAACCTTATTCTTCTTCTGTTTGGATGCATATCATCAGTCAAGGATACACTTATATTGGTAAGTCTGATCGGGTATTGAATTTGTATGTGTGTGTTAAAAAACAAACAAACAAACAAACAAAAAACAAAAAAGAAAAAGTTCCTAATGTCCCTCAGTAAAATAAGGAATAGTAATTTTCTCCTTGTATTTGGACGCATTTGGACCACCTACCACACATACCTGTATTTAGACATCATAACTAGCGTAATGGCCAAGATGAAGAAAAGCAGCAGGTGGTTCAGAGCATTTTCTAGTCAATGAAAAGACATAGGGGAACCAAGACCTGAGAGGTGGCCATGAATTTCTCATCACTGGCCTGCACTTAGAAACTCTAGCCACGCTGACAGTTCACTTAATCAAATGATCCAGGGCTGACCTTGTCTGTTTTTATGACACCGAAGTTATTTGTTGTATTTGTTGTAAGTAAGTCTTACTGCCTTTGTAGCCATTCTCACTTGCTCAGTAAGCATAGATAAGCTAAGAAAAGATTTTGAGTATTTCAAATGCCAGGGTAAAACTCTAAGTTTAGTTTTGACTATAGGAGTCCTTCCATCATTTCTAGTCAAATGTAATAAAATGTTACTCCTGAAAGTCACTGTCTTGGGAAAAGCACGTTTAAAGAAAAGGGGTAAAAAAAACCTGATCAAGAAAGAAAAGTAACAGTAAACTGTAGGAAAATGGCCACAATGTGTAGGATCCCCAGTGCTGCCTCCTAAGCAAAAACTTGGCCTGGGAAGGAGGGCCAAATGCTGAACAGATGTGTGCCTGGGAATATAAATGATGGTGCATGAAAGAGCTCTTTTCTACTGACTCAGCGTTCAAGGAAGTAAGGCAGCAATGTAATTGGGATAGTTATGCACTTCTTTATGTGCTGCGGGTAACAAGAGCCAGAATTTTCATACCATACCAGAAGTCCAGAACCTTCTTTTCCATGTTCCCGGCCAGCTGATGCCCTGGCTGCATGCTACTGCCCTGGCGCAGCAGAGACCTTTTCAATAAAGGGCAGCTCGTCTTCTAAGCACCCAAATCTACCACCTTTTTCTTTACAGAGTGTAATTTCAATGACTTGGCTGCTAGGATTCCAAAAATAGGGACAGGATTTGTTCCCCAGTAATACTTGCAGAAGGACATGGCACCACAGAAAGGAGCCTCAACTTCAGTGACACAGTGTTCCTGAATGTTAAAAAATAAAACTTTGTTCAAGAAGAACTTGCAACCTGAAACATCTTTTTTTAAAGACAGTAAAAGGAGTCTCCTGAAGCGAGTCAGCCCCTCCGGATAATAGTCTCCTTAAGAAAGGAATCCAGCAAGTATGAAAAAGAAATAGCTACAACTCAATTTGTCAGAGTGCAAAGATGTCTCTGTACTGCATGTGCACGTCCATTTTATATGGAAGTCTTGCACTCATAGTTATGGTGGGAACTGGAATATTATATTAGCTAAGTTCAGACCCCAACTGTTTCTCTTTAAAGATTACTGAAGTACTGGGATTGATTTGCATTTACAATAAGGCTATTAATGTAAAGCACAATGTAAAGAGGGCTGAAAATTGATTTCTTTTGTGTACTCACTACACAAATTTCAAGATCTCTAAAAATTGCTAATGGGTTGTAAAGGGCTGTCAATATGAACAAGCATCAGGCCCATATATTTTCCTTACTCTTCCCTACTCTTATCTCCCCTCCCCCATTAATTTTTGATTTTATGTTTATGAGGATCTGAAAATAGTCTAATTCTTTTCTATCTGGTTTGGGCCTATCTTTACCAGCTGGTAAATAGGAAATGTTCACTGTAGGAAGCCAATACTCTGCAGAGTGTAAACAGATGGAATCAATATAAAGTGACAAGTTAGACTGTGCTACTGAGAATACAGAGCCAAAACTAAGAGCATAACAGTCACGATACTTATTTTGTTCCAATTCATTTGGTACTGAATAGCACTTCATATATGCACAGCTGTGTCCTTCCGTTTTTTACTTTCTTTCTTCTGGTTTGATGATGACAATTTCAAAGAAAAACTTTAATTAAAGATTTTACACAAAATGGCCCAAAGTAGAATATAAGGAAAATGAGCACTGATGTGTTTATAGCAAGAGAAGAATATTTTTCAGGCATTTATTTTCTTTCTTTATTTTTTAACAAAACAAACAAAATCTGATGTGTGTATCTCTCTGCGTGTAATATGCTAGATTGATAGATCTTTGCAAATTGAAATCTTCCACTTCGTGATACGGTATATAACCACAACTCTAAAAGCTTCCCTGTCATCCCCTTTCTTCTCCTGGTGCCAGGGTGCCATGAAGGGCAGGAATCTAAGTATACATCTCTGCATGGGTGTGCTGGCCAAAGGGAAGGGGACAGTCAGACAGGGAGACTGCTACAGACTGTCCTGAGACATACTGGAAGCAGAGTGACTGAGGGTCTTCCTTTTCCTGCCCTGGCCAGCTTGGCTCACATGCACCTCCTCCACTCTCGAAGAGACGGGTGTTTTGGAGACGGTGGATCTCAATCACGGTCCCTTCAGGGATGGTTAGCAGGGTGGTAAGCTTCCAAGCTGTCCTGTGTTGCAGGGTTTGCCTTGAAAGCACATCTGAGCTCTAGTCCTTTTGCCAGAGAGAGTGCCAGGTGTTACAGTGTGGGTTTTTCTTTACTAATTTATGCATTTTTGACACATTTTCACAAAAATGGAAGAAGGCAGCATGTTTTACCACTCTGTCCCCAACTTATTCCTTACAGCATATTTCTTAAAGCTGCCATTAAAATTTTGCTATTTTTGCTTTCTTGGCAAATAATTACCCCAGATTTCCCATATGTTGTTTATTAGGGTGACTGTACAGCTCTAATGAGGGGCAGCAACCACAAGTTTGAACACAGATTTTGCTTCTGATCCTCGTGTCAAGGGCAAGCAGCTTTTGTTTCCTGCAGAGGAAACACTGGGTCTGCCCCAGTCTCCTCCATGCCTATCCCCCTAGATCGGCGAGCCATCGTAGCGCATCTGTGCGGAACTTCTCTGCCTCCCCATCCAGCCTGCTGCATTCTCTGCGAAGCACAATTCTTCTCGTAGCTAGGGGCCTGTTTATCTCAGGAATTCCCTGAAACCTCTCTCAGACTCGTTCAACACCAGAAAGGTGGTATATGTTACTGTAGGCAGAATTCAGGAGTTTGGGGTAATGGGAATGCGTGACAGCCCCTTTCCAGATCTCTTTCCCACCCTTGCCAAATACCATGAGCCACCAAGCAAGTTCCATAAAGGCTGGGAGAGGGAAGCAATGCATGATGCAGGTGGCACCTGACAAGCGCCAATCCATGGGAGACACAGTTGCTGAGGAAAATACCGTGATATACAGTGACTGGCAATACTTGTGTGGGTAGCAAAATGAGCTTCGGTGGTTTGTGGCAGGAAATTGTCTCACAGTAAGCTGCAGTCTGCATATGGGAGTGTCTGGAAGTTCCTCCTGTTGCGATGCCTGTAGAGGATGTGTTTTCAATGGATATCCTTTGTGCTTCTGAAGTATAAGAAAATATTTAAAATATTCATTGTCCTCCTTCTTCCCAAGGGATCCCCAAGTGCTTCACATGCATAAATGCTGCTGAAATGCAGTCACTGCTGGGGTGGGGAGAAGCAGCCAGCTGGCATGTGCCAGTGACAACAGAGAGCGTTATGCCAAAGACACCATGGCAAGGCCCTGTGGTTGCTAAAAGTGCTGTGATATCACTAATGCTCCGGAGAAAAAACAGGAACATTGCTTCTAGTGTCTCTGCTGAAAGATTCTGATAGCATAAACGGGTTGGTATGTAGCTTATCTAACCTGTAAGGACAAATGGTCGTATTAAGCTGGCAGAAAAATGTACTGCTGATGCCAGGCACCACAGTATCCAAACCTTCGCCTCACTCATTAAATAATACGTTTCAGTTAATTCTGATTGCAGGGAGAAATGAATCAAGATTGCTGCATTTCTGTCTCCGTGAAAAGCTTGGAGCTGTGGTGTTTTGCCAGTTGTGGCAAGAAAGAGAAATCCTAGCCTACCCTGGTGAAGTCTAATCCTTTCTTTGAATTTGAATTTCCATTGTTGTTTTGTATCTAGCACTATAGAAAAAGTCTTTTTTAATGGATAAAAACTGTTTTTCCATCTTCACGTCTTTAGCCAGATAAAAAGCTTTATCCTCTTCCACCCTTTTTCTCCAGGCAGAGTTGCCAAGGAGTAGACAAATCTGCCTGATTCATAGCTACTTACTTTGGGCAACTCTGCTTATATCAGTGGATGGTTATAGCCACAAATAGGCCTATTTACTCTGCATAATGCTCTTTAGTCAGAGTACAGGGCTTGGAATATTGACTCTTCTGGTTAAAATAAACAAAATATGAAATCTTGGCTGCATTGGAGTACCAGCTCCACTGTGATCAGGATTTCCTCCAAGGACTTTCCTCCTTCTTACTCCTGGTAGCACTGCAGAGCATATGCAACTGAGCTGGATTTAATTCTGTCTCAGGCAGCTGCATTTGAGTGACTGAGTAAGGAGCAATGGTAGAATCTTTATTATTGCTTCTATTATGTAAGCCAGAAAGAACACAGCCTGACTCTCAATTCCCCAGTTTCATTTGCAGAAATAGCAGTTAAAACGAGTGATACTTTTAAACAAGGCTTTATTCTTGTAAGCTGAGCAAATTCAACACAGAACAGAGTAAGCATGGAAGCCTTCAATACTACTTTTATTGTCAGTTTTCAGTTTGTAAGCTTACTTTAAGCTCCAGGTTGCTGAGATTTTTAACAGACTTGGAGAAGAGACTTGCAATTGCTAGAATGCTAATATATTCATCAGTTTGTCCCATGTATATTTTTTCTTTCAACCTCTAAATCTTGATTTTGGTAATTTTTGAAGTGAAGTGAAAAAAAGAATGCTTTGGTATATGTAGAACAAATAATTCACTGATATTCTGAAGTTCACTGGTACTTACGAAATGTATACCTGTCTTGATCTTTGATCTTTGGTTTCCAGCAAATCTCTAGGTTTCAGTCACTGAAGGAAGTTCATCCTCTGCCTACTGTTTAAAATATATGAATTGTATCTGAAATTCATTGCTTTGCCTAAAAGACTTTTGAAGTTTACTAGTGCCATTTGAAGAAGAAATTGCCTTAGACACTGAGTAAATGCTAAATATTCATTTCTCATGGAGCGTTATCATAACATTTCCTACTGTGCTGGGGAAGGTTGTCCTGTATTATCAAAATAGGTATAAAATGGCATTTTGTATTATATGTTAGCAAAGCTTTCCAGTGCTTGCATTTGTGTCAGTTGTGTCAGTATTGGTTTCCTGTTCATTGAAATCACCTGTAATTTGTAGATTGCAAAGAATGTGAAAAACATTATCAGGTGCTGCAGACTTTTTGACTACAGCCGTGCAGGATGGATACAGAGGCACACACTACGGCAAATTCTTGAGACCACCTGTTTTAGGATGAAGGACTCAGAATTTGAAAAGTAAGTAAAGAAACAGCCATGATTTTTCTGTGAGAGTAATAATAACAATAAATGATGGAGTTTTTGTGATCTTCTGAATTACAGTGGCTGGGGGCTGCTTGCAGCAGGCTAATTTGCCAGTTTATCTTCTGTATGCAAGTTGCAGCCTTCAGCCTTTCTCTGACTGAATGGATGCAATAGTATGCAAGGATAAATATGTTGGTAATTCATTCCAAAGGGATGCATCCTGCATCAGAATTCATCCCAGTCAACTTGATTTTCAGGATGGGGTTTAAGATACTAGAGGGACAATGTGGGAATCCCCTTGCCTGCAGTCTTACAGAGTGACATTGGGGGTGGACGTTCTTGGCCTCAGACCCAGGACACGACTGAGGAGTCTGCATGGAGGTGCTGGTGCCTACTCCACTCTGAAAGCTGAACAGAAGAGATAGTGAGAACCCCAGAGGCTCTTCCAGAGGAAGTAGTGAAGAGAGGAAAGGATTTCCTTACTCTGCTTGTAAGAGGTGTAGGACAGCCTGTTCCTTGACCTCTTCAGTTTCTTTGGCTGACACAGGATATACCTAAGACCTTTTTGAAATGTTATTCAGCAGAACCAACGTATTAAGAAGACAGTGTGTGAGTAGGACACACCTACAGGAGCCAGGAACCCCTCCCTTTCACAGTTGATTTAGAATTGTTGGCTTCTGAATGAGAAAACGTATTCCCACTCTTGCTGAGATCAGTGAGTGGAGAAAGCCGAGAGCCATTGCCTCTCACTGGAAAAAGGATCCTGATAAGCAGGTGACTAGTGAAATCTTGCCTTTGAAAAAGGCAACAGCTCTGAGCGGCTGCTTCGTGCTTTTGCTGAATTCCTGGAGGTAGTTTGAATATGACTGTTTTTTTGCCCATGGCTTAGAAGAACACTGTTATTTGAAATAAAATACTACCGTAGCACACCTTCACATCCTGTGCAGCTTGAGGCGGTGAACAGCGAAATGTTGTATCATGGGTACTATGATCTGCTTACTCTCCCCTTAGCATGGTTTTCATGTTGAAGTGTCACAGTGAAATGGAAACTCGGAGACTGCCTCCAAGTAGGGTGAAGCCAGAAAGCAAGGAGAGGCTTGATTCAATGACCCCGTCATCTAGGCCTGGCAGCTGGTTCATCAGGAGCCTCAGAAGAAATGCTTAACCTTTTAGGGCTCTAGTTTGCACAGCTGCATAAGGGACTATTGCTTGCTTACCCCAGAGGTACAATGTGAACCTTGATTGATGTTTGTATAGTGTCTGGAAACTAGATTGCTCTTCAATGGCAGAGCAGTGGCTAAGTATTAACATTGGGAGTCCATATGTGCTTCAGATATGATGGATCCAGTGCCCCTACTAGTTTGTACTGACAGAAGCTGTAGCAGTGCCTGCTCTCTCAGAGCAGGGACGTGGCGGGGGGAAGTAGCTGGAGCTTTGACTGCAGTAGGGGTGGCAGGAAGAAGGATGGCCCAAGCATGATGGGGTAGGAGAGTAACATCCAAAGAGCATGTGGAATATTTCCTTAGTATCTTTGCCAATGGGTTGCTGTGAAATTGTGCTTGTAAGGCACTATGATGGAAATGTTGAAAGAGAACAAGTGATGACAATGCCTGTGAATTGATGCCAATGACATGCAGGGAGATCAGCTACAAACTGCCTTAAACCAACATGAATCTCATGTTACATACTCTGTTTCTGAAGAATGTTTAGTGTCTTATGATTTTGAATGACTTTCTGTGGATTTTGGAGTCTATGAAATCCATCAGGAAATACAGCTGGAGATACTATTTGCTGGATAGGGACCTAAAAGAAAATGAAGCAAATTAGGATGGTACTTTATTGCTCTAGGATTTTTTTTTTTTTTTATATTTTTTTCATTTTGAGCAACTTCCAAAATAATTCTCATCAGTTCATATCTCCTGGCTACACCATTTCACTTTGTGTATTTTTTCTGGTTGGGATACTTTCCAGAATTAGATATCAACAAAACCAATTAAATAATTTGGTACAGGCAATTATAGAACAGAAGCAATAGTCTTCTAAAGCAGGCAATCAAAAAACCAAAATGATGCTTTATTTGACAATAAACCTTGTGTTTGGCATTGCAATCTGAAAGGTAATAAATCTATAAAAATGTTCCTACATCTCATAAGTGCTGAATAATAAAAAAAGAACACAAATTTTTATTTTGGGGGTTTAGAGCTCTAAAATGATGAAGTTTTATCAGGAAAAACTTCTGAAGCTTAACAAATAAAAATAATGATATTGAGTCACCTCTGTGAAAGAATATCAGAAATAATACAAAGATAAAATATAACATTTATTTTATTTGCTTGCTGATGGAATATCACACAAACAACTGAGGTATTCTTTTGAAGAAGCCTAGTAAAATTGAGAATGTTTAAATATGCTCAAATTATACCCGAATTTCTTATGATGGATGAACCTTAAAGCAACTGAAAGTGTGTTTGCTTCTCAAAGTACAAGTGCAAGATAATTAATGTTAATAATATATTTAAGGAAGGATATTAATTCCCTAGTCAAAAGAATAAAATGCTTTTCTTTTGAAAGCATGGTTAAAATTATGGGTGAAATTCACTTCTGTGCTGATAATTTTGCACAGATCCAGTTAAACCTCCAGAACAACATAAATCAGATGAGTATACTCTGCTCCTCTGTCTGCACATTTATTAATGTACAAAAGCTATACCTCCTGAAATCATCATGCCCTAAAAGAACATTGTCCAAGTGAGCAACTTAGGTCTTATTAACTGTGTTTATTTTGTCTGTATCATAGTTGGTGGGGGAGGCATGGGCAACCCAAGAGATTTGAATCTAAATGTCCTCCACTATCTTTCAAGTATATCTGTGTTTCCCTCCGAATTCCTGATAAATTGGGTAAGCACAATACTTTTTTTTTTGCATGTTGGGAACCTTATTGACTCACTTGACCAGTCCAAAAATCTGTACTGCTGACAGTAGCGATAATGGCTTAGAAACAGGAAAAATTCAAAGCAAACAACAAAAAATCTAAACAACACATGGCACTTTTCTGGCCCTCCGTGGAATATTTAGATTCTCAAAATCACCATCTAGGAAATTCCTTGACAAAAGTATATACCCTCAGTCTAACACAAATCCTTGGGCTTCGTAGGTGTGTTTTTAGCACGTCAGGGGCAGATAAGCAGGCAGGCGAGTAAATGCTAGCTCTCTTTTTAGACTGTTTAGACCAGGTTGGATGAGGCTTTGAGCAACCTCTTCTAGAGGAAGGTATCCCTGCCCATGGCAGAGCTGTTGGAACTAGATGATCTTTAAGGTCCCTTCCAACCCAAACCGTTCTATGATTCTATGATCTATCCCCCTTTCTTCCCACTCAGTTCCCTTCCTCGGTCAGAAGCTTGGAGTGTCATATTCCAAACCCAGCAGCCTAAGAAGTCAGGTTCATCAGAAAGAATTTTCCTTCTATTTTTGAGATTCCCAGTGAGGTTTCTGTATATCTAAAGAGCCTCTGCTTCAAAGCTGTGAGTCCAGGGATGTTCTGGGGTATTGGATGCTCAACCAGCTGCTCTGCCATGTTTCTTTGATACTTTTGTCTATCACACTTCTCTGGACAATATAGCTTTCATAGCATGGGCCTCTGGCTGTGACTTTCAGAGAAAATGCATCTCATGTGATAGGGCCTGGGCCCCTGCTGTCCTATAGGTTTCTAGTTTTGAATTACAGTATAATATAATGCACTTAAAAATGCTTCTTTCTGCATTGATCTTGAAAAAACAAGAAAACAATATTGTTCTTTGGACCAAGTTCTGCCATCACTTTTCTTCCTGCTGTCCCTTCACAGTGTGGTCTCCTGAATTGATTTCTGCTTTTGGACTCTGCAGCTGTTTCTGATTCACGCCAAAGCCCGCTGAATATTTGCCTTGGATTGATTAACAAATATTTTATCCCATAAGCCTGATATGGTTGTTCTGGGACACAGTGTCGAGTCTCTCAATTAACTTTAATGGACTTTGGACCAGTCCTGTAATTATTAGAAGGGCTTTTTCTGTCGAGATCCTGACATAAGGCACTGCCCATACATATCTTTTGGGCTGGGGACACCTACTATATAGTCAGGGGAAAATATTCATTTTCAGAGATGTGTTTTGGATCCACAAACCCTGCCAGAGCGCCCTGTTTGCACTCATAGCATTTCTCTCATATAGGCCAGCCCAACTCCAGAGAGACAGAGCAATTGTATTACCTCACCAAAAAGATATTAAAAATTTTCTGGAAAAAAAAAACAGTAGTCTAACAGTTCTGAAACCTGGTTACTGCTAGGAAGAAGTAAACCCTTTTTAGATGGACCGCCCATCTAAAGATTTACTTGATTATGTGAAAAATATAACTCTCCTTAAGAACAGATCCCAGGTCTTCAGCTTTTAGGCTTTCACAGTTGGGCAGTCTTGATCACCTAGTCCTAATGTTTCAGGAAAGTTATTCAGGTTTCATACCAGGGCTACATTCTCCAGTTTTGTGGGAAAAACCACCCATGAAATATATATATATATATATATATACACCCCCTTATTTCCTTAACATCCCAATGATATCCTGAATTCATTGCAGTCAGGCAGTATTTTAAATATTGAACTCAAAAGCTTTTTCTTAAAAGTCACATGCTCAAGACGAAGCTGTCCCTAGGCACCTTTAATGTACTCATGTGGCAGTTATGCAGCGAATAACTCAAGGTTATTTTCTTTGGCAGCAATTTCAGAGCAAATCTTTGCGTAAAGAATAATTTCTTTTCCTTGAACAATGGGCTGGATTCAGAAAAAGTATAATGGGTACATTTGTTTGTTTTTCAATTTTAGCAATTAGGAGGTATTCATATGTGTGTAAAAATAGAAAATAATGGATAGTTGTACTTATAATTAGCATATTTTAATACTTAGCAAACCAGAAGCCATTTCTACGCTTATTAAATGTGCATCGTCAGCTTCAATTTTTTTTAAAATTACTAACTAAAAAAATAATTTCAGATGAAGTGTTGCTTAAGGAATATATACTGAAATTAAAAGCAAACACAGACTTTAAAATGTATAGTACAATTCTTAGCTTTCTTGTACTTGTTTGTGTAATAGTCTCATCAGCACTGAGATATGTGCTAGCTTTCTAGCTTTTAAGCAAAACTTGGGCAAAGATCTCCCATTGTGGATCTGGGTAATCCAGCTGTATTCATGGTACTGATTCAAGTATCTTATGGCTACAGAGGGCTGGATGCTTCAGCCTATCAGAGCCAAAACTAGCAGTAAAGTTAATGTAGTTGCAATCCGTCTGCTCTGAAAGACTGTGTTTGCAAGAACAGGGCTTTAAGAGGGTCTGATCCAGTGTCTCTTGAATGTAACAATGAACATATTTTTATTGTTTTCAGCTGGTTTCAATCCAGCCCTTCCATCTTGGGTGTATCGAGGAAACTGTGATCAAATTTAAACAGGTATTGAACATAAGCAGGTACTGGAACCTTTTTTTTAGATGATAACCTATGAATTGTTTTAGGTTATATAAATATGGAAATAAATAGGGAAGTCATAGAAATAAATAGGGAAATCATTTAATGACAGGAAGGGCAAGACAATCCAAAGGCTAACTTGAAATACCTGAGGCTTGTTGCCCTTTCTAGTAAGTGAAAAGATACTAGCATATGCAGAGAGCAAGCAGATGACGACCATAATTTAGGATTTCTGAATCACTCTGTGGTAGTGCTTGTTATCCTCCTTCCCTCTATAGAGAAGGACGGAAGAGACTGCTGTCAGTGTTTAGAGCTAGTCTTCGGGAATACATTCCTTGGTCAATACATTTATGAAAGGAAACTAATCATTGTGATGATTAGGACTGATAATTTGGTTTTTTAAGTCATACTAATATAGATCAATCAAGAATGATGCTACATAATTTGTGTTCTCTTCATATGCCCAGATGAGGGCAATAACAAGTCTCCTATTGTTTTTTATCATTTATGTGGCCCAATTTTGATGGCTGCTGCAAAGACCAACTCAATCTCCATTCGTTACGTGTCCAGATTGTAGCCTGCCCCTCCTGTAAGGATATGGTTAACGGTGTGCAAAGCATGATGGTGATCCTTGCCTATTTATGGGGATCCTATATAGGAAGCTGGAGCATAAAGAACAGTGGGCAAAAGTGTAATTTTCAACCAGTAATTAGTTCTGTAGTTCTATTTGGTTATTAAATGGGATTGACTTTCCAGCCTTGATATATTCAGATCCATAATAAGCCATTTTGTTCAAAACAGCAGAAATTGCCCAGGAGTAACAGTAGAAAGTTCCTAGGGGAAAGAATGCAACTGTTTTCATGTGACAGAAAGCGGAGTACACCATGGGTTGCTGAAAACTGTCACTAATGTAGGATAATGACTGAAGAGCGTTCCTGTTCTGTAGTAAGGCCATGATAATTTGTGTATGCATCTGTTTTTTGTTGTAGGTTGGGGTATTTCAGTAAATCAAAAACTGAGCCATAAACAAGGGAGAATTTCAGATGATCTAAAATGTACCAAAGTATAATTCCTGATGCTGAGATTTGCTATTAACCTGATCTTTCTCATGGCATTTTCATAAAATAGAACTGTCAATCCCCAAATAATCCAATCACACAAATGTTTTTAAAATATTCCTTTTATTTTTAATGTATGCATGAAAAGTTTGTTCAAAGTGGAAATGCATCTATCCATTTTATTATATGTTTCTACCGCCCTTCACATATGGTAGAGTACTGTCTGTATATTCATTCTGTATTTCCATACGTACAATTCACAGCTAATATAATCTTAATCCCTTTAAAATTTCCTTGAAAATAAATTCACAGATAATCCTCACCGTCTAATAAGACTCAAAGAGAAGGCTCGAGGGGAAATAGGATGGGGGGAATTACTGGGGAAAAGAAGTGAAGTCCTCCATGAATTAAGCATATATCTATGGCTTACATGCATCAAAAACAGCTGTGTGGTTTATTGTGATAACCAGGATAGCCCCATGGATAGGGCAGGACTATAATTCAACTGTTACAAATGGGAAACTGAGGCAAGAGGCAAGTCAATGACTTCCCAAGTTTATTAAGTAAATTTAATATTGTGATTGGGAATTCCTGTCTTTCAGTACGCCACAAAAGTGATGGAATTATGATGATCTTAGCAGCTAATCATACCTTCACGCTTTACCCTACAACCCAAAGAATAGAGAGGAAAACAGGGTATGTTACAGTGCAGCTCTCTTTTCTTGTCCCAAACGAAATTTGCCAAATGGCTAACCAGGTTCTCTTCTCTTTATCACCTAAATGGTCCCATAAATTGCAAGTGGAATTTCCCGCCCTTGCGGGTGGGAAAATGGGTGGTATTTGTCTTTTTTTCATAAGATTTTGGCTTCTACTATGAGGCTCTCCAAAAGGGTTAATGTCCCAAAGATGTCTGGAAAAAGTACTGAGCAGAAATAGGACTTTTATTTTCCTATGTTGTCAAAGTCAAAACCAGAACACAGCTTCAAATCAGGTGCTCTCATTCCCCGGATGTTGGAAAATTGTGCAAAAAAAAAAAAAAAAAAAAAAGCCACAATCATGATTCAAGGGATGCTGTGGATGCTTTAGAGCTTAATGTCAGCAGACAATCTGTTTAGCCTTTGAAAAAGGAGTTTAAGAGGTGACTACATCGTATGGTGCAGTATCTTCACTAGATAGACAAATTCAAATGAAAAAATAAAGCAATCAATTCTTCTGTTATTAGTCCTTGGAACAAATTCACCAGGACTAACTAGATGCATTTTTGTCAGACATGCTTTAATCAAACACAAGTTTTATTGCATTTTGAGATTAATTATGGGGCTAAATGCAAAGAAGGTTGAGAGAAACTTAGTTGCTTGTGATACACAAGATGTTCTAATGGTACCATTTTAGCTTTAGGCTTCATGGATCCTCTTTATGCAATAGAATTTTAATTTTCATTTTAAAAAATACATCTTTCTAGGTTTCATGATTAGGAAGATAAAACATGAGCATGAGTCACAGCAGTGTTTTCTGAAGGGGACTGGAGGAGATAAATCCCACAGCAATTTGTGATAAACCGGTCCTGGAATCTTGTTGTGGTTTAACCCCAGCCAGCAACTAAGCACCACACAGCCGCTCACTCACTGCCTCCCCGGTGGGATGGGGGAGAGAATCAGAAGGGTAAAAGGAAGAAAACTCGTGGGTTGAGGTAAGAACAGTTTAATAATTGAAGTAAAATAAAATAGAACAGTTAAATAGGTAAAGCAAAAACTGCGCACACAAACAAAGCAAAACAAGGAATTCATTCACCACTTCCCATGGGCAGGCAGGTGTTCAGCCATCTCCAGGAAAGCAGGGCTCCATCACGTGTAATGGTTACTTGGGAAGACAAACGCCATCACGCCCAATGTCCCCCCCTTCCTTCTTCTTCCCCCAGCTTATATACTGAGCATGACATCATATGGTATGGAATAACCCTTTGACCAGTCTGGGTCAGCCCCCCTGGCTGTGCTCCCTCCCAGCCCCCCGTGCACCCAGTAGAGCATGGGAAGCTGAAAAGTCCTTGACCAGTGTAAGCACTACTTAGCGACTATTTAGCAACAGCTCAGCACTACTTAGCAAGAACCAAAACATCAGTGTATCAACTATTCTCATCCTAAACCCAAAACACAGCACTATACCAGCTACTGAGAATAAAATTAATTCTATCCTACCTGAAACCAGGACAATTCTCTAACAAGTTGTCATTCTGAAAGGTGAAAACTCATTTTTTCCAAGCATTTGGATACAATCTGAGGATGGCAAGTGTATACAGTATTAACAACTTCACTGACGGTCAAGGGAAATATCTAGAAAATAAATGCCTGCAATCAAAGATTAATTTCCAGGCTGTGGAAGTTAATACCATGTGGAAATTAGTTCTAATTGCAAAGTGAGGTTCCCATTTAACCCAGATGAAGCTGCTGCAAATTTTCCAGCCTGCTATAAAATCCAGACAACTTGCTACAGAGTTTAGGTACAATTTATCATAAGTTAGACTGGAATTTGTTTAAGAATATCATAATATTCCTATATTATTAGATGAGAAATGTCCTTCTGTAGATATATTAAAATTCATGTTCATGTAGATGGCCAAGAAAACGGCACTGTATGTAGGATTTGAATTATATTATGCAGACAACTTGTACACTATAGATAATCTTGGGCAGAGGAAAGAGACCAGAGAAAAATGTAATGGGAAGGTAGAAAAAAACCAATTCATTGCTTATTTGTTTTTTCACAATCTTTAACATATTGTGTTTCTAAAGATTTCATAAATTTCTTATTTCTTCAATTCCTTACAAGTATGATCTAGAATAGCTGTGTTCTCTAAAAAATGGCTCTTTTTCTCTAGGCTGTGGAACCGTTACTGTGTTAGAGACTCTAATGTGATGGATTATAAAGAATTTCTGAAGAATTTTGGCATAAGTACAGAAACAGTTACAGAAAAAAAACACAGAAAAGGAAGTTCCAGGTATGTGCTCAGAAAAGGAGAGGAAACTTGGGTATTTTTCCTCTTCCCAGTTATATCAATAGAAGTATTTCTGTTGGCCTTGATGGATCTGGTTTGCAATTTTGTAGGACCTTGATAGCCTCTGATTCTCAGCAGATACAACCAGGACAGGGAGGAAAAGAAAGCCGGTTTCCTTTGGCCTGGGAAATTCTACCAACAGTGTGTGAAATCTGCCTTTAAAATCAAAAGGTTACATGTTACATGGGCCAAAAAATAAAATCACCATTACAAGCTCATAAACCCCAGATAAAGAATTTTTTACTGCAACTTGGAATCTTGTAGCATTTGGGAACCTCAGTTTTCACCCAGTATTCAATCATACTGAACTTCACAGGTAATCTTTGTAACAAAGAACTTACTTACACTCTAAGACAGTGAGAAGATGGTGAACTTGGACAGGTTGGGGAGCTCAAGGTGACAGCAAGATATTTTTTTGTCAGCATGACGGTAGTTTCAAGCATAGCAGCAACCAAACTTATGGAAGTGTTGGCAACTCAAAGAAGGATGTTTAAGAAGGATTGATGGTCAGTAATTAAGTCAGTTTGTGAACATGTATGGGCAGGTCCTCTGAAATATAAGGGTCAGAATAAGAGTAGATACAAAATATATTTGTCTGAAATTGCACGAACCAGACAGTCCAAGGTGGCACGAGGGGTCGTTCCTGAATGAAAGGTGATTGGCATGGAGGACGTGGGCTGTGGAGACCCTTAAAAAGAAGGCATTAGCTTATGTTTGTTGTCTAGGGAATGAAGAGTCACTGATAAGAGCAGGATACGGTTGTTTTCCTCAAAGACAGAAAAAGTGTGTTTCAGTAATTCAGTTGTTGGATGAATGGAGGCAGTGAAGCGAGTTAGCCCTGTAGGTGGATGAAAAAGGTTGTGTTTGAGAGGTTACACAGCAAAAATCTGCCAGATGTACCCATAATGTGTACGTGAGGATCTATGGAGATGTGAATTTAAGAAGGTGCTCAAGTTAAGATGGTGAGAAAGGCCCTTCCAGTACATTTAAAAATAATGTAAATCTGTTTGCATATCTTGACATTTAATTTAGTGTATTTCACAAGGCATTTTCTCCATCACAATCACAGAATCACAGAATGGCTGGGGTTGGAAGGGACCTCTGGTGATCATCTAGTCCAACCCCCCTGCTAAAGCAGGTTCACCTAGAGCATGTTGCCCAGGATCGCGTCCAGGTGGGTTTTGAATATCTCCAGAGAGGGAGGCTCTACAACCTCTCTGGGCAGCCTGTTCCAGTGCTCTGTCACCCTCAAAGTAAAGAAGTCTTTCCTCATATTCAGATGGAACTTCCTGTGTTTCAGTTTGTGCCTGTTGCCCCTTATCCTGTCGCTGGGCAGCACTGAAAAGAGTCTGGCCCCATCCTCCTGACACCCGCCCTTGAGATATTTGTAAGTGTTGATAAGATCCCCTCTCAGTCTTCTCCAGGCTAAACAGGCCCAGCTCTCTCAGCCTTTCCTCATAAGACAGATGCTCCAGTCCCCTAATCATCTTCGTAGCCCTCCGCTGGACTCTCTCCAGTAGTTCCTTGTCTTTCTTGAACTGGGGAGCCCAGAACTGGACACAGTACTCCAGATGTGGAGAGCAGAGTAGAGCGGGAGGATAACCTCCCTCAACCTGCTGGCCACACTCTTCCTGATACCATTGGCCTTCTTGGCCACAGGGGCACATTGCTGGTTCAGAGCTAACTTGTTGTCCACCAGGATTCCCAGGTCCTTCCCCGCAGAGCTGCTTTCCAGCAGGTCAGCTCCTAACCTGTACTGGTGCATGGGATTATTCCTCCCTAGGTACAGGACCCTGTACTTGCCTTTGCTGAACTTCATTAGATTCCTCTCTGCCCAACTCTCTAGCCTGCCCAGGTCCCTCCGGATGGCAGCACAGCCTTCTGGTGTATCAGCCACTCCTCCCAGTTTTGTATCATCAGCAAACTTGCTGAGGGTACACTGTCTCCCTTCATCCAGGTCATTGATGAATAAGTTGAACAAGACTGGACCCAGTACTGACCACTGGGGAACACCGCTAGCTACAGGCCTCCAGCTAGACTCTGCACCGCTGATCCCAACCTTCTGGCCAT